TCCGCCTCCCACTCTCTCCCTATTTATTTCAGAACCCCCTTCCCCTCCCCCTTTTCTGATGAAGGGTCTAAGCCCGAATAGTCAGCCTTTCTGCTCCGATGATGCTGCTTGGCCTGCTGTGTTTATCCAGCCCTGCACCTTGTTGTCTCGGATTCTCCAGCATCTGCAGTTCCTACTATCTCTGTGTTCCTATAAGTTGTTTTGTTACTTTTAAAATGGTTTGTTTCAAAATAATCCAACACCAGGATAAAAAACCAATAAAGTGGCATAATTATTCATTACAAATGAAATGTTACTTTACATTAAATTGTGAATGCCACACGGGCTATATGCATTCACCTCATTTTAATTAAAACACATCATACTGTGTGATCAATTAAGGACTGAGTTTGAAAGCATCTCCAATACAATGACACTTAGCTGAGGATGCTATTTTGTCAAACTGTCAAATTGAATGAGTAAAGATTTGGAGCAGTACCTCTTTTAAGGAATCTTTTAAAATTATTCTTTTCATATTTGAAAGAGGAAGGTGTGCAACCAAAAATAAGACTTAGTGCCTCTGAAGGTGAGTAACTGCTTCCCTTTAGTTATAACTTCCACTAATCACGCCCACAAAGTGAAAGGCTGCAAAAGTGTCCACAATTTTCTGATGAAATCCTATAAACTCTGTCGGCCGTGACTAATGTTCACCGTCTTTCGGAGAAACATTGAGGGAAGAATTGAGATTGTGAAGTCTTTGACTGCCTGAGAGAAAACTCAGACTTCATTGAAATTGGAATCTTTCCCCTTCTGCACTGAGTAATACTTTCAAACTTTAACAAGTTCACACAATACAATGATTTACAATTTTAAAACTACTTTTAAAAAGCATTGAAATGCCCAGTGTAGCACAGATTGGTCAAGATTAGAACGTCTAACTTTTTTCTAAATACTGTATATCCCCAGGACCAATTCTACCTAAAGAAATGAAATCAAAATACAGCTGGAAATCTGAATCAAACAGTTTCTAAAAGAAGATATATACTGGAAAAGAAATGTTAACTCTGTTTCTCTGTCCACAGATGCTTCCAGACCTGCTGAGTTTCTCCAGTGTTCTCTGTCTAACCAGAACACATTATGATGGATGTTGCAATTAAACTAAATGCTGTCCCTGATTGGATTAAGTCTCACTGAATCTGTTTCCAAGTTCCTGAGGAAGGGAATGAATTGTTTTGCAAACTCAGTCCACTCCTGTTGCAATCACCTCCAGAATGCAACATTCTGAGAGATATTTTTAATGTTGACTCGTCTCATCAATAAAGAGAAGTAAAACAATAAGCAATGCCAGAAATCACATGACACCAGGTTATAGTCCTACAGGTTTATTTGAAATCACAAGCTTTCGGTGGGTAGCCCTTTTGTCAGGTGACGTGAGAAAGAAGTGAACAGACACTGAATTTATAGGCAGAGAGATCAAAAGACTACATAGATGGTGTGAGTGGAGTGCCAAAGAATAAGAACATTTGGGTGATCTGAAGTATTAGACGGTATGAGTAAAGTGTCAACTGTTGAATAACAAGCGAAGGGATGACCTATAATCTGATTATTATCACTGGACTGTTCATCCAGAACCCAGGTAAAGTCCAGGGGACCTGGGTACGGATTCTATCTTGGCAGAATTTGAATTCAATTAAAAAATCGCCTATTAAATGAGGCAGAGAGATAATTACAAAAAATTAAAAATGAGATGATGCTGGAGACAAACCAAATCTCTGGAATAACTTGTTGAGGGTCTAACCAAAGTAGTAAATAATCCAAAACTGTACAAGTTAATTAAGGTAGAGAGATCATAACAATTTATCCAGGTGATAGTGACAAAACAGGACAGTAAAGGAGATTTTACAGATACAGAACAGTGTGGTGGGGTCACATATAGTGCGACATGAACCCAAGATCACTGTTGAAGCTGTCTTCATGGGTATAGAACAAAAACAAAGTTGCTGGAAAAGCTCAGCAGGTCTGGCAGCATCTGTGAAGGAAAAAACAGAGTTAACATTTTGGTTCCGGGGACCCTTCCTCAGAACTGTGTTTTTGTTCCTGATTTACAGCATCTGCAGTTCTTTGTGTTTTTGTGGGTATGGAACTTGGCTATCAGTTTCTGCTCGGTGATTCTGCGTTATTAAGTACCTCGAAGGCCACCTCAGAGGACGCTTACCCGAAGATCAGAGACTGAATGTCCCTGACCACTGAAGTCATCCACCACTGGGAGGGAACAGTCTGGCGATTGTTGTGCAGTGTCCATTCATCCATTGTCATAGCATCTGCATGGTCTTGCCAATATACCATGGCTCAGGGCATCCTTGCCAGCAGCGTAAGAGATAGACAACATTGGCTGAGTCACATGATTATCTGCTGTGCACATGGTGGGTGGTGTTTCCATGTGTGATGGTAGTCTCCATGTTGATGATCTGGCATATCTTGCAGAGATTGCCATAACAGGGTTGTGTGGTGTTGTGGTTGATGTTCTCCTGAAGGTTGGGTAGTTTACTGCAAGGTCTGTTTAAGGTTTGGCGGTTGTTTGTAGGCGAAAAGTGGAGGCGTAGGGATGGTCGTCATCAATAATATGTTGAGTGCTGCAAAAAACATGGCACAGTGTCTCTGCTCTAGAGAAGTACTGGACGACAAAGGGTCTCTTGATCGTATCCTGTGTCTATCTTCTGAAGAGGTTGTTGCGATTTTTCGCTGTCGCACATCAGAATTGGCGATTAATGAGCAATGCAATCTTCTTTGTAAAATATTTGAAAAACGTTTAGAACCATCATTTTGCTTAGAGTGCCACTCAACGTTGCACGAAGGATTGACTTCCAGGTCAATATTCGATGAAGCTAAATTTTTCAGGATTGAAAGCTTCATATAGTCTACTCATTGGGAGGACTCTTGCAGTGCAGTGGTAATGTTCACACCTCTGAGCTGGGAGACCCAGGTTCAAGTCCCACCTGCTCCAGAAGTGCATTCTAGACATATCTGAACAGGTTAGAAAATACCTGCTCAGTCCCAAAGTGTCTCTCTGTGGTGACGCAGACCCTGGCTAAAGGGATAAGTAGTCTGTAGACTAGTGTCCCTGTGTAACAAGCTCCTCCAATTGGCTGAGGCTGATGGTAAGACACAGCCATATGTTGCTTGGCTGTGTTAAAAAGTTAATCACCTATTGTGCTGAGGATTAGAGTCACATCAGATTTCATTTACCTAATACTGTCAGGGAACATTTGGAATCTGCTTGTATAAAGCACACAGAGGTTGAAGAGGTCACAAGGTTAATACAGTACTGCACAGGAGACTTTCACATTTTACATTGTCATTTACTGAGGCCCCAAGGAAATTAGTATCAGAACAGTTATGCATTGATCCTTAATTAGATCACTAGACTTGCATCAATATTCTCCAATGTTGAAGAGAATCTCATTTGAAATAAGTAAGTCCCTAACTCATAAATCTAGCAAGTCAGCAACCCCAACACAGATTGTACAGAAATACAAAAGCAGGAAATATGATACAAAAACAGAAAGTGCTGAAGAAACTCAGCAGGTCTGGCTACATCTGTGGAGAGAGAATTTCAATTTTCATACGTTTTTTCTTAAGAACAAGAGGCAGGCAGACAAATAAAATGTCAATGGATAAAAGAAATAAAACTATAAGCGATAACATTCATATTTGAAATACATTTGGAACCATCATTTTGCTTACAGCCGGTTACAGTGTCACTCGATGTTCTGCTAAGGATTGATCTTCAGCTCAATATTTGATCAAGCGTCTAAATCTTTGCTAAATTGTAAACATTATATACTTCCAAATTCTGACAGGATTGTTGTGTTTTTTTATCAATCCTGATTTGAGCTCCATGTAACTGAAAATGTTCAGAAATCCTGTACTCACATCACTGTTGGATAGACTTACATTTTAAACAAGAACAAAAAGTGCTGAAGAAACTCAGCCGTTCTGGCAGCATCTGTGGAGAGAGAAAGAGATCCTCGAAAAGGGGTCACTGGACCCGAAAGGTTAACTCTGTCTCTCCCTCCACAGATGCCGCCAGACTTGCTGAGTTTTTCCAGCAACTTCTGTTTCAGATCTTCAGCATCCCGCAGTTCTTTGCTTTATCTTGCGTTTTGGATACTAGTTTTATTATTTATAGACGGCGCTTTGCTTAGGTGTACCATCCTAAAGAGATTAAACAATCAGCACCACTGAATAAATATAATCTGGCTAATCCTGTCTCTTGGGGTTTAAGACTGCCTGGGCTGTATGCCTTTCATTTCAGTGAGGAAGGTAGCTTTGAATCTCTGTTACTGATAGAGGAGGGCGTTTATGTTTTGGTTCTGTCAGGAGAAGCATCTCATTCAGAAGCATGGCTGGAACTGCAAGTCTTTGCTTGGTGCTTATACTTGTGAGCTCCGTGCCCAGCGCTAAAATGTTCCAATCCACAATGATGTTAGACATGGCTGAAGTCTTGCTGGAAAATTACTGCTTCCCGGAAAACCTGGCAGGTATGAAGGAGGCCATCCGGCAGGCTAATCAGAGCGAGGAGATCCTACACGTGAGTGAGCCACACACTCTGGCTGCCGTGCTGACGGCCGGGCTGCAGGGGGCTTTGAATGATCCCCGGCTACGAATCTCCTACGAGCCCGGCACCTCTATCCAGGAGCCGGCGCCTGTCCCTCCCCTCAGCCCCGGGATGCACCTCCAGCTGGTGCAGAGCTCCGTCAAATTTGAGATCTTGGACAACAACGTAGGCTACTTGCGGATTGACCACATCATCGAGGAGGAGATGGTCAAAGAGCTTGGCCCCATTTTGGTGGAGAGGATTTGGGATCACATTGTGACCACCAATGCACTCATCCTGGATCTGAGATACAGCGAAAGCGGTAAAATCTCTGGGGTCCCCTTTCTCATCTCCTACTTCTGCCAGGCCGATGATCAAATCCACATCGACTCTGTCTATGACCGGCCGTCCAATTCCACCCAGGAGCTATGGACGCTGCCCAGTGTCCTGGGGGAGAGGTATAGCCAGGACAAGGACCTGTTGGTGCTGGTTAGCAGCTACACCCGAGGGGTAGCAGAGGATGTGGCCTACATTCTGAAGCACTTGGACCGGGCTCTTCTGGTGGGCGAAAGGACTGCAGGTGGCTCACTCAATGTCCAGAAGTTCCGAATTGGCACCTCAGATTTCTTCATCACTGTCCCCCTCTCAAGGTCCATCAGTCCCATCACTGGCCAAAGCTGGGAGGTGAATGGAGTTTTCCCAGTGGTGCTGGTCAGCGCTGATAGGGCACTAGAGAAAGCCACCTCTATCCTAGCCGTCAGGAAGGCAGTGCCCAATGTGATTGCCAGGGTATCAAATCTACTGGGCAATTACTATGCCTTTGTGGATCACGTCCCCGCCCTGCTGCGTCAAATTTCCAAACTGACCCCCTCAGCAGTGATTTCTGAGCAAGACCTGGCAGCCAAGCTCAACTGCGAGCTGCAGGCCATCTGCGAGGATCCCAGGTTAACCATCAGAGTGAGCCCAGTGCCACCCCGATCCATGGTGCCCAGCCCTTCAGTGGACCCAGCCGGCGATACCAGCTCCCTGTTACACCTACTGGGCTCCCTGTTCCAAGTGGATGTCCTGGAAGGCAATATTGGTTACCTGAGATTCGACCAGTTCCCAGGAGATGCCCTGATGCCTGCACTCAGCCCGCACCTGGACGCTAAGGTGTGGGCACCCCTGAGAGACACTGATGCCACGATTGTCGACCTTCGCTTCAACTCAGGTGGCCCTTCGGCCTCTATCTCGCTGCTGCTGTCCCACTTCCAAGAGCCAGCACCACCCGTCCTCTTCTACACAGTGTATAACCGGCTGAGCAATACCAGCCAAGAGTTCTCAACCCTCCCAGCCCCAGATGGGAGCCTGTATGGCTTGGAGAGGGATGTCTATGTGCTGACCAGCCACCGGACTGCCTCTGCTGCTGAAGAGTTTGCCTACTTGATGCAGTCCCTCAACCGGGCCACTGTAATTGGAGAGATCACATCTGGGACCCTGCACCACTCCAGGTCCTTCCCAATCGGAGAAACCAACCTAATCATCACCATCCCATTCCTCAATTTCTTGGATAACAATGGCGAGTATTGGTTGGGTGGTGGTGTGGTGCCTGATGCCATTGTGTTAGCAGAGGAGGCTCTTGAGAAGACCAAAGAGGTGATGACCTTCCACGCCAAGCTCTTTGAGCTGGTCGAGGGGACGGCCGACCTGCTCAATGCCCACTATGCCATGCCCGAGGTGGCAGCCCAGGTCAGCTCAGTGCTCCACGCCAAACGGCTGGCAGGGTGGTACCGCTCGGTGGTGGACAGTGAGTCATTGGCCTCGCAGTTGACCAGTGACCTGAAGGAGGCAGCTGCTGACCACCGGCTCCAAGTGTTCTGCAGTGTGTCCGTGCCCGAGCCGCCGGAAGAGGCTCCCGAGAGTATCCCGTCGCCCGAAGAGCTGGGCAGCATACTCCGTGCCCTGTTCAAGGTAGAGGTGCTGCCCGGCAACGTGGGCTACCTGCGCTTTGACCTCATGGCGGGGGCCGACACCATCAGGGCCATCGGGCCCCAGTTGCTGGAGCAAGTATGGAACAAGCTGGTGGACACCGAGAGCCTGGTCATTGACATGAGGTACAACGTCGGTGGCTATTCCACTGCCATCCCCATTCTGTGCTCTTACTTCTTCGCCCCTCAGCCTCTGCGCCACCTCTACACAGTGTTTGACCGGCCCTCCTCAACCAGCTCACAGATATGGACCATGCCCAAGGTCTTGGGGCGAAGGTACTCCCCCAAGAAGGACATCTACATCTTAACCAGCCACATCACAGGCTCAGCAGCAGAGACTTTCACCAGGGCCATGATGGATTTGAAGAGGGCGACAGTTGTCGGGGAGCCAACCATTGGCGGAGCCTTGTCAATTGGCACCTACCGGATAGCACACAGTGACCTCTACATGGCCATCCCCAACCAGGTGGTGCTCAGCAGCGTCTCTGGCCAGGTTTGGAGTGTTTCCGGGGCTGAGCCCCATGTCCCCGTCCAAGCCAATGAAGCCCTACAGGTAGCCCTCGGCATTGTCCAACTCCGCGCCAAAATCCCCTGGATCATCCGCACGGCCGGGGAGCTGGTGGCTGCCAACTACGCCTCGGCTGAAAGCGGGGCATCAGTGGCTGAGCACCTTGCCCACACCCTCAGCCTGGACCAGTACAGCGGCATCAACTCCGAGCTGGAGCTGGCTCAGAAACTGTCCAAGCACCTTCAGCAGTTGTCTGGCGACAAACACCTCAGGGTAGCGCACATTCCAGAGAACCGAAAGGATCACATTCCCGGAGTGGTGCCAATTCCGGTAAGTTCACCTCAAAAATTCTTGGTCATCCTTACATTCTCGTCGATGTGTTTGGCACACCTCCAGGCGGGACTTGAACTCAAACCCTCCGATCTAAAGATCGGAGACACAAGGTGAGGTGATGACCCAGTGGTATTATCGCTGGACTGTTAATCCAGAGACGCAGGTAATGTTCGGGTGACCCAGGTTCGAATCCTGCCATGGCAGATGGTGGAATTTGAATTCAATAAAAAAGATCTGGAATTCAGAGTCTAATGATGACCATGAATCCATTGTCTGGAAAAGCCTAACGAATTCACTAATGCCCTTTAGGGAGGGAAACTATCATCCTTACCTGGTATGGCCTATATGTGACTCCAGACCCACAGCAATGGTTGACTCTTAACTGCCCAATGGGCAATAATGCTGAGCTAGCCAGCGACACCCTCATGTACCACTGCACTAGAGGAGGCCCATAAAAAAAGTTTAATTATTCTGTTTTAGCAAACCTCTGAGGAAGATGGAATTTCAACACAGATGTTCTAATCTACAGGTATAGACACTCCAATTGCACCACAAGTCCCTTTCTTTCAGCAATATCAGGTCCTGAAATAAAACATGCTGTGAAAATGAAGTAATGGATTTAGTGTGCATTAAGTGTAACTCTGCTCTTTCCTAGATTCCTCCCCCTGAGATGTTTGAGGACCTCATCAAATTTTCTTTCCAAATAAAGGTGTTTGATAACACTGTCGGCTACCTTCGATTTGACATGTTTAGTGATCTCGAGCACATCAACCGGGTGTCAGATCTCATGGTGCAACATGTCTGGAATAAGATTGAAAACACTACTGCACTCATCGTGGATCTTAGGTAATGTACACTGTGTGACTGACCAGTTGGTAACAACAATGAGGCGCAGTGTTATGTCTGATCCAACTGTCTTGGACTGCCTGAGAGATGTTAACATTGTTCAAAACTACAGGCTTTCTGCAGCCTGGTACCATCTCATTGTCATCGTCTTAGAGTTAACTAAGCACTTTAATAGTTTTCCAATTTTAGCCATGACCCCATTCGCAGGTTTGGACAATGATAATAAGCTTGCTCCTTATTTTAGCTTGAAATAAATGGGTTATGTTTAAGATCTCACCCCTTGTTCAAATCCGCTCCGCAACACAATACATTAATTGCCAAGTATTAGTCCAAAAAATGAATACAGTGCAAAACCAATGAAATCTCTTGCTGCCACATTCTGCTCTTGCAAAGACATCTTGCTACTTGACTTTACCCCAAGCCAACCAGGTTGAATTAGAACTGGAACCAATTTGACAGATCTTTCAAAGATCTGACACAGACAAAATGGACTGAATGAGATCCCTCTGTGCCATATCATTCCATGATTTTGTGATACCCCATACCCACCTCTCAGATAAATACAGGATTCCCTAGCAGCACTAATTAAAAGCATGCACACTACAATCCTCCAGAGATTGTAGCTGCTCCTGCCTGGAGACCTGCTGTCACAGTTTGTTACAGTCATCTGTTGTGCCACATCCTCACACATCCCTGCACTACAACCGCTCTGAGACATTCTCCAACCACACCTAGATCAAACCCTCTTTCGGATGTCCTCCACACTGCCCTCTAGAGGAGATCCTTTCAGCTCTCACCAAAGGACCCAAATAACTTTTTAGAATGTTACTTTTTAAGAGTTCTTTTTACCTCTGCAATTTCCAGCACTTCTTCATTTCTTTTACAGCTTGTATATGGAGTTTTTAACATGTGTTTAGAGGTCTTTGAAATGTTGATACTTTATTTTCCGTTGATCTTTACTTGGTGTCCAGGTTTGTGCAGTACGTAGGGACGTGGATAGAATGCAGCATCTTATGAGATTGTTACAGGCTTGACTTTTCTAGTTATTAACACACCCTTCACCTTCACAAAATTACCCTATCCTTCTTATAACTGTCATCCACTATTTATTATTTGCTGTAAAGAGACAAATATATCAACTTGTTCCAGTGTGGTACGATCCATATCAACATCAATGTTCTGAAGAAGGGTCATTGGACACAAAACGTTAACTCTGATTTCTCGCCACAGATGCTGCCAGACCTGCTTGAGTTTTTCCAGCAATTTCTGTTTTTGTTTCTGATTTCCAGCATCTGCAGTTTTTTTCAATTTTTTTTTCAATATTATTGTAGCTTCTTCTAATGTATTTCTTCCATTTACCATTGTTTTTGTTTTTTTGATCATAACCAGCTGGGTTAAAGTTGAATATTTGTGTTTTGCTTTTGGTCCAGAAATCACAGAGGGCAGATTGAAAACTATGCAATCGCCTTTAATTCCAGGATACGGACTGTTAGGTGACACACTGAGGACCAGGCAGCATTTAAATTTTGCAATTTTGATGTGCGCTCACTCTATAAATTTAGAGCTTATGTATACCTGCTTTGTGCATCTCATTCAAATTAACATTTGTGGTGTAACTTGAGTGTGAAGACATGAAGTTTACCAAAGTCAGTGACTGGAGGGAATCTCAGCTTATTTCAGTGTCAATGTGAGACCTGACTCCAAATCCAAAGTTTATTTAAGTTCACTGCAATCAAATTCTCTATGAAATTTAAATACACATATGATTGATCTTACAGCCAGAATGTAAAAGAACTCCTAATAAAGAAAGAAAACCAATTACATGAAATGCTGCTGATTCAGTACTTCCCATTCTATTTGTTCCTTCAGCAATACACTATAATTCATATTTTATCCAAGGGGTAAAATGGAGTTGGATAAATGCTGTTCACATTTACAGGTTCCTAGCTCATACTTAAATGATAAATGGCATAAGCCACAAATTTGTGGCTGATCTGTAACTTGCCTTCATCATTCATTGTATAATACAAATATTTTTTCCACTTAGCTACACTGCTGACAAATTATATCTTTTAGTTTTACAGCTACTTGAGCACACAGGCAAGCATGCCATTCATAATGGCAAATCTGGCTTCCCTTCATCAAAACGAAAACACTGACTATGACTGACAGACATTGGGCTCATAAATGACAGGGATGTTTCAAGATGCTCTGACATTCAGCTTTCAAGAGTTCTCATAAAATAAAGCATGACAAAAATACGATTGATGGCCCACATTTAATGTTTGTCATGATATAAACTGCAGAAATGCACAGAGTTTTCAGTCACTGATTCTGTGCTCCTCCAGAGAGTGTGCGGTGCTGGAAAACTTCAGCACTTCTGGCAGCATTTAGAGAGAAAGAAACATTTAATCTTTTCGGTCCAATATGACTCTTCTTCAAAACTGAAGTAAGGAGGAAAAATGATAGGTTTTACACTGTGGGTAAACACATGGAGCAGTAAATGGAACAGGAGGAAAGATTAGAAAGCCCGGGAGATTAGCTGTCAAAGATGTCACAAAACAACATAGCAATGCTGTAAACAAGAGACAAAGCATAGCTACACAGCAGTTGTTGAAAGCAGGATATAGATCTAAATAAAAGCCGAAAGAACTGCTGATGCTGTAAATCAGGAACAAAAACAAAGTTTCTGGAAAAGCTCAGCAGGTTTGGCAGCATCTGTGAAGGAAAAAACAAAGTTAACATTTCGGGTCCGGTGACCCTGAGGAAGACCTGCTGAGCTTTTCCAGCAACTTTGTTTTTGTTCAGGATATAGATCTGTTCAGCTAAAATCAAAACCACAAAACAGAAGTGTCTAGGGGGTGGTGTGGAGGACAGGGTTTGTGGTCTGAATTTGTTCAGTTCAGTGTTAAGTCCAAAAGGCTGTAAAATGCCTCAAGTGGACAATAAGACATTGTTCCTTCAACTTGCAATGAGCTTCACTGGAGCACTGCAACAGATCTAGGACAGGAATGTGGGGGTAAAGTCGTGTATTGAGATAGCAAGTAACTCAAAGCTTATGGTCACATTTGCAAACTAAGCGGGGGTGTTCCATAAAGTGGTTACCCAATCACCTCAAACTTGAAGGGACTGCATTGTGAGTATCGATCACGGTAATATTTCCTTCCCAGCCATCCACATCACCCACCGCTCCCAGTTTAATGATCTTGTTTTTCAGCAGAACTGTGTTAATGTAACAAGTAATTTAGGCTAGAATGAATGTATATGATAGCCCTGAATTGATATCTAGGCACGTACTGAGGAAATGGTTGGGACTGGGACAGGAAGGTGCTGGACTCATATTGCCAGTAAACTCTGTGCACAATGATAATCTATGTCTCTTAGCATCTATTTGAGCAGCCTGGTTAGAATCTATCAACAACGTGGCCAATTTTCTGTTAGTAATAACCTACTCTGCATTGTCTTTTGTCTACAATCATTTCCACTCCCTTTCTATGATGCGTTTGAGGTAATCTCCCTCATCCACTAACATCTCCCTGACCTTTCCTTCTGTTCCTCACCTTTTGCCATAGTATAAAACCCAACAACTTTCTATATCATTTCAGTTCCAAAGAAGAGTTATATTGGACTCAAAGTGTTAACAATGTTCCTTTCTCCACTGATTCTGCCAGATTTGCTGAGTTTCTGCGGCACTTTCTGTACTTGTTTTGGATCTCCAGCATCTGCAGGATTTTGCTTATGCGGCATCTCCAAACATTTCTAAGAAATTAGAGAATTAATAATAACCTCCACGCTTATGCTGTTATATCTGTTCTTAAAACCTTTTAAAACCTATGGCCTTGAAATGTTAACTCTGCTTTCTCTCCACTCCTACTACCTACTTGCTGAGTTTCTCCAGCTATTTCTGTCTTTGTTCCTTAAAAGTAATGTCTTGCTCAATGCAGTGTAATTGCATTTTTTATCAGTTCATGCAGTTCATAATTAAGTACCTTCACAGGCTCTGAAAATCTCTGAAAATTTATGCAAAAAAATGAAATTTCTGTATCATAAAAACATGTCTTTTTTTCATTTGTTTTTAAGTGCTTATGATATTTTACTTTCTATCTCGATCCAATCATTGTGCTACACAGAAGTGTAAATTAAACGTGAACAGATTTGGTGTTTAACTTCCTTGTTTGCTATCGGTGAGAATACTTCAGTTTGGTTGGTTACTTACTCTGCTTGGTGACATCACTGGATCTGGTCACCTAGCGATTCCCTTGAATTGATACCAGTTTGAAATTGGCAAAATGGAGAAGGCAAATTCAGTTCCTTTCCCCTGGAAACCAGAAATCACTAAATCTTTGTGGACAATTATCTTCAGAATCAGCAGTGATTAATATTGCTTTACACAAAACCCAATCCATTGTATAGGCTGAACAAGGAGATTCAAAATATTTCAAAACAGTATTTTTGTTCATTTATTCAGAAGTTGTGCGCCTCTCTGGCAAGGCCACCATTTATTATCAATTTCCAATGGCACTTGAGAAGGTGATGGTGAGTTTCCTTCTTGAACTTCTGCACTGTATTTTGTGTAGGGACAGTGATGATCCCATTCAGGAGGGAGTTCCAGGATTCTGACCTAAAAGTGAAGGAATGGTTGTATAATGCCAGGTCAGGATGGTGTGTGGTTTAGAGAGGAAGGTCAAGAGATGGTATTCACATGTCAGTTTGCCATTGTCCTTCTACATGGTACTGCTTATCAATTTGGAAGGTGCTGCCTAAGGAGCCTTGGTGAATTTCTGTAGTGCATCTTGTAATTAAGTATTGGTGGTGGAGGGAGTGAATGTTTGTGGATGTGGTGTCAGTGAAGCAAGTTACTTTGTCCTGACTTAGAGTTACCCTGGGAATTAAACATTGGTCCCCATTTCTACTAGCTAGAGTTCAAATCTAAAACATCCACAGAGAATGCTAGAGAAACTCATCAGGTCAGATAGCATCTGTGCAGAAAGAAACAAAGATAGT